AAAGTTTGGGCTAAAACTACACTTTTCTAAGTTGTTTTTTTGATTTGTTTAAGCTATCAGTTTGAAATGATCAAACAATTTCTTTAACACTTAGTTTGTTCATGATTTATTTGTTAAGTTTGGAATTATAAACTTAATTTGTATTTGCTTAACACTTTAATTTTAATCATATTTGGGAATTTGCATAATAAGTTTATTAAAACTGTTCATTAGTTTTATCATTATAATGATATAAATTCTTTGAAGAACCAACAAGTAGAAACCTTCTCAAAAGATGACGGAACGGCAGGATCGAAAAAGGTCGCTCTTTTCAATTTGTTTTAAATATTTTTCCATTTTAGTTGGTTTATTATTTTAGAACTACGGTTTTTATTTTATTTAAATCGAATAAAAAGTACGACTGAATAAAAAGTACGCTTCCCTTTTTTTTTAGCTCGTTGATTTAAACACAAAATCATAGAGTTTACCTTTCCGGATTGCATTTTTGACCAAGCTCGCAAATTGAAAATCAAAGCAAGAAGAATATAATGAACTTTTCTTATTTAAACTAGACGAAGGACATTTTTCTCTGCTGAACAAAATAAGTTCAGTTTTTGTAAACGAAATTAAACGTAATAAAAAAACAATTTTATTTTCCCGATAAGTACAACTTAACCCAGTAAATATACAATTTCCTGGGCTTTTCCTAGTCTAGCCCATACATACATATATAAGAAAAATTTCCATATGCAACCCCTGATTCCTAGCTCCCACAACAACTGCCGACAGATACGATAATTCTGTGTCTCTTTCTAAAAGCACAAAATTTGCATATCAAACGCAGCAGAAAAACAACCAAAAAGCAGGCAAAACAGACGCCGCGCAGTCGCCTTTCATAACAACAACAACAATAGCAACAACTAAAGCACATACAACAACAACAACCGTAACAACTATAGCAAAAACAACTACGTCTGGGACATGAAGCTAATGCATGGACAATGTTTTCTTCCACTTTTTTTCTCGCTTTTGCAAAATTTGCGTATTCTGAACGATACGAAATTAAGTAAATTACAATATTGTACGATGATTGTCGTAGTCGAAGTTGTTGTTTGCTGTATTTGCTGTGCTATATTTGCGTGAAATTATTATGGCAATCGATTTGGGACCACACACACGCAGACGTTGCAAAAAAAAGCTACGAAGAAAAATAGTAATAAAACTGGCGATAAAATTATTATTGATTACTCATACGCCGCATGTAACGGCCTAATGAAAACGGGCTAACTGCGATGGGCTTTCTACGAATAATCGATAACGATGACGATGACGCGATCGCCAGTTAAAGATAGCAATAGCCAGCAATTATTTTCGTCATAAGTCAGCCAATGTGGCGACGACTTCTCGCTGCACTCGGCTTTAACTGAACTCGACTCGGCTTTTGGCCACCGACGCGCTGCACTCGCGAAAAACAACTTGTAAAGATTCAAAATCGCCACAGAACAACAATTTTACAAATAAGAGAAAATGTGTTTTTATTTTAAAGAAATCGTTTAACTAAAAATGTCTTTCAAAGGAAAGTTTTAAATTTGGTTTTTGAAAACTGCCAAAAAATTTTTTTTTTCTAATATGTAATGTGTTGGTTAACTATTCAGTTTATTCCCAGTTTTATTAATGACCTGATGGTTTATTACAAATAAATAAATAATCAATCGAGCGATAGCAGTTGATTTAAATTAAACGTTTGATAAAGTAAATCTTAAATTTTCGAAATTCCTTCACAAGATCATAAAAAAGTTATTTTAATAATTTCCTGGAAACAAATGAAATAAAAAGAAAAGGTATAAAATAAATCGATAAAATCAAAGGGACCGAAGTAATAATATAAAACATTTAAAATAATTTAACTTAGAAAAATCTAACTTTTTTTTTAAACAAATTTTAATTCATTTTAGAAATATGGTTGTAGTATTTAGAAATTATTTGCTACTTGTCAATTAAAGCTGTTTGTGTGTTTAGGAGCTACAAACAAAGCTTTGCCGAATTTCTTAAAAAAAAGTAGCCTTTTTTTTTTGAGTGTACTGTTGTTGTTGTGCTGGTTTTTTTCACAGCCACTCGCCTGTGTGAGTTTGCTCAGTTCGCATATATATATATATATATATAATTGTTGCGCTTCGCACACAAGCTTCCAAATAAGGGACGGCACATGTGAGCTGAGGAAGCTATAACTATCGCTGCAGGCTACGCAAATCGTTGGCGTTTCCACTTTCGCATAGATTTCGAGGGAAACCAACGCATGCCGCCAATCAGAAGTTCAGCCCGTTGATGCAACCGTCACTAAAGTGGTTCAGTTGTGCCAGGTGGTGACAAGTCGCCGTCGTCGGTGGTGCTGTGCTGCTGTTGTGCCTGCCCCAAAAGCGATCGACGATCAATGGCGATGGCGATGGCGGTGGCGGTGGCGACCAGGAGTCGGCTGTCGTGCAACATATGGCAGCGATGACAACGCATGTTAACAGCTTTTTAAAGTCGTTGCACAACGGCGGCAGCAAACAGCAAACAGCAAGAACAATAAGCGCCTTTTGCCACAATTCCCAGGCCGATAAGCCAGCCCAGCCGAATCGATGTTTATATATATATTCGCATTCGTATTCGCATTCGCATGCTTATTTAACCCCGCGTGCCACAAAAGGATGCCAAATTTGGCTGCAATCCGATATGAAATGTCCCAAAACTGCAGACAGGAAATCTCACGCGTGCCACCGGCAACATCGGCTCACTGGAGCGGATGGAGCTGAAGTATATTATCCAAAAATGCGGTCTGGCGTGCCTTTGAATTAAGGTATCGATTTAGCCCAGGCCAGCGGACCAAGCGGTGGTCATCTCTCCGTCAGTTCAGTTCAGTCATTTTCATTCATTGTTGGCGCGCGCTCATTGTTGGTGTGAAATTTAGCACAACAGCAACAGCAGCAAGAGCAGCAGCAGCACACAGCAGCAACATCAGCAAACGGCAGCAACATCAGCAAACGGCAGCAACATCAGCAACAAGTGGCTGCGGTTGCAATGAATCCGCATAACAGACATACAACAAACGGACGGACCGAGACTCTTAAAATGCGGCAAAATATTTCTTGCTGTTGCTCTGGCAGTGCCACTTTAGTTGCCGCCGTTGTTGTGGCCAACAAAAATACTTTTTAAACGCGCTGAAGCGTCAAGTCAGCCCAGCTTTCAACGGATACGCGCAGGATCAAGTGTTATAAATGTTAATTCGCAAATAATTGCAGCGGCCGCTACGAAAATACACTCGTTGGATTGCTTAATCGCAGTCAATCAGACGATGAGGCCAAGGCTTGGGTTCGCCTGTCTGCATCTCGGTCTAGGGAGTAAGAAAAAATGACTTTACCCAGGGTTTAATTGAAAATTTATGGCACTTTCATTAGCGCCGTCTGGTATGATGGCATTAAGTTCATTCCCAGCGAAAACTTTCAAATTTAGGAAGCGAAGAGAATGTATATATCATATAGGTAGAAATGATTACACACATATGTATCACATAGATTGTGTTGATTTCAACATTTGATTTTATTGTGGGCAGGAAATGAGCTGAACCAGCCGAACATCGATTGTTGTTAACTTTTGTTAACCGTGCGGACTGTGGGTAGAAGTCGGCTTTTGCCCCGTCCGTGTGGGAAGTCCGCGTGTGCTTCATTATATAATGAATTGGGAGATGGGCACAATCGCAATCGCAAACAAAACAAACGCCAGCTCAAAACTTTTTGCCTAGAATTTATTACTACACATGTTTTTCTTCTTCAAAGTACAGTTGGTCTGGAGTTCTGTCAATAACTTGCTATCAATTTAGATGTGCAAAAACCTGGCAAAGTTTTCAGTCATTGGTTAATGTTGAGAAAATATTTGTCAACACTTTATGGGCTTGTTATTTGGAAAATCATTGAAAACCATTAGGACTAGGAGGTAATAAAAGATTGTCAGATTAAAAACTGCCAAATATTTGGCCTGCAAATTTTTAAAAATGTCCCTGACATTGCAAAGCACAAAATATAATATACAAAGTAATTTTTAACTACAAGGTTAACAGAGTTTGTTGCATTTCTCCTAGTAAATTTAGAGATTTCAAAGAAACTACATAGTTTTTATTGCATGGCAGTAATAGCAATTGTAACTTTTAAGTCTTTAATTGATAAGAAAATAATAGGAAAAAGAAATTCATTTTGAACTGCATAAAAGTTGTATGCTTTTTCTCTTAGTTAATTTCCAGATTTTTCATTCCAACAATTAGGCAAAACATCTTCATAGAAAAATACACACTATGAGGCAACCAGACTCGGGGAAAAAAAGAGATATTCCCAGCCATAAATTGGTCAGTGAAGCGGAGCTGCCTTTGCCTATATAAGTAGCTAAGGCGGGGAGCGGTATGGCGCAAAAACCATAAGTTTCCTCCAAATCGCTGCCTCCGCCACGCTCCACTGGATGGGCGTTGCATTGGGCGTGGCTAGGCGGCGGCGGCGGTGCTAGAAGAGCCATGGCAAAGGGGTGGGGGGTGGTGGGTAGGCAAGCGGGCGGGAAGGTCGCAGAGATTTCAACGTGGATAGCAAAGAATTTTGATTAACTTGGAAAATCATTGGAGTAAGTCGGCTCGCTGCGATTGGGATTGGGTTTGGGTTTGGGATTGAGATTGGGAAACACAAACCACTGAGGCAGATAGACTCTAAAGCACACAATGTACGCATTATTTGTTTGCATTGCGGCCCAATAATTGCTTAACTAAATGTGAGTCCTGCTGAAAGGCCAAAAGCGCCTCGTTAAGGTCTCAGTCTGGCTTTTAAATAATCACAATGAAAGCAACAGGGCCAAAAGCAAGACAACTTGCCAGAAGAAAAAAAAAAACAAAAAAGCAAATACAAAAACACAATACAAAGAAATAAGAAGAAAACAAAACGATACAAAACGAAACGAAAGAAAAGAAAAAACGCTCACAAATTGTCATTTCTTAACCTTTTCAGATTGCGAAGGCGGCGAAGAAGCGGCGCAGAAGCAGAAGCAGAAGCAGTAGCATCAGCATCAGGAGTTGGAGTTGGAGGATGCCAAGCGGCCAAGTGGCCAAGTGGCCAGTTTGCCGGTCGCCGCCAGAAGTTGCCGACTCACAATGTGTGTGCGCAAAGGCTTTAAGAAATGCCGAATTCCAGAAGCTGCAGTACAATCAGTTGAATTAAAAAACGAGCGCACAGACAGTGGACGACGGCTGGATGGGATTGGGATTGGGGATGGGGATTGGGATTGGGGATGGAGATGGGGGATTTGCTGGCTGCTGAAGTTTCAGGGGCTCCACTGGAGGATCGCCGGCGATATCATCGCGTGGTGAGCGCGGGCTAGGAAATTAAGAGGACATTGTGGCGGCATGCGGTTAGAACTTGCAGCGGCGGCTTAAACACAAAATCCGCACTGGAGATTCCTTGCGTGGCTGCGTTGTTGGTGGCTTTTGGACAGCTGGACGCTGGCTGACAGAGGTCGCCCTCGTACGTAATCGACGAGCATTGCAAATGCTTTTGTCCTCCTCCAGCCAGCCTGCGTCTTGTGCTGCGCACGTGGCCATGTTGCTGACGCAGCAGCAGCAACAGCAAGCGGCATCAGCAGCAACATAAGCAGCAGCAAGCAGCAACAGCAGCAACAAGCAAACAGCAAATCATTGAAATGTCGTTAGAGGCTCGAGCGGCACGCAGCATCGATAGTCAGCGCAACCGCAAAATGCTTTTAATTTCTCAAACTGATATGCACCCGTGCTCCCACTGCCGTGGAGGAAAACTTGGGCCAGAGGTTCGACTTCCTTTGTTTGGTCTTATTTCTGCTTGCAGGTAATTCAACAGAAAGGTCCCCTGATGAGGTGGCAAGAGGGTAAAGATCAGCACATTACTTTGGACCAGAATCAGAGAGGTCACATCAATACAAATAATTGCAGGCACCCATAGAAATTCTATGAATATACACATTTATTTTTTTGGGAATAAAACGATGGCAAACATCCGAAAAAAGAAAAAAACTATGTTTATGAAAAGAAATTTATGCAATGAAACTAAAGTTCAAGCCAAAGAACGTGTTCAAAAATCTAAAGAAATTGTATCAACCTAGATTAATTTGTATTTACCTATTTTTAATTACTAAGCATGAAAAAAATGGTTTATCTGATCGGATTCTCAATTTTATATGACATTTTGCCAAATGTAATTAGATTCCTTAAAACAACTAATGAAATTATTGAAAATGTCTTCATGTCGTTCTTTGCACTATTAACCCTTTCAAACTATGCTAAAGCTAAGAAACACAAATCAAATTTTGTAATAAATACGAAATCGTAAAAGCCAACAAACTTACAGCTTTAGTTTTTACTGGATGGGTTTCGTGGGCGGCTTAGATGATGATGCGCAGGTGAGCGACCATAGAAGGTAATCTATGTAGCCATAACACCCGCGCAGACTGATGGATCGCACTCTTGATCCGAGCCAGATCTTATATACATAATGTGAGCTAGCAAATGTTGGCAAACAGCACAGCACAGCAAACAGCAAACAGCCCACTGCAAGTCAACAATTAACCTTGGCTGGACAAAGAGTTGGCGGCGGCAGAACGACCTACAGCAGCAGCGGTACAAGTTATGGATTTTATTTTATCAGTCAGCTGGCAGTCAGCTACCAGCGTTGACTACACAGGAAATAAAAAGTGAGGGGTTTGACAATAATGTTTGTGCTTTAAGCATAACTATTTGCTTACTACTTCTAAGCATATAGCGAAAATACTTTATAGAACCAACTTTGTTACAGCACTTTGTTAGATTTAAATTATAATTTTCAAATTGTATATATTTTATTTATTCTCAAAATATCCAAATGGGAGAGGTGTTAGGTAAATTATTTCTTTTTATTCGAGGTTTAAGGCAATAATTTCTTTGTGTGTAGAGCAACAACTGATGACCTGAGCCGGCGTTGGTGTCACACCCACAACATTTTGGCGTTCATTCATCGGCCCATGCTGAATGGAAAAACAGAGCTGAGTTGGAAAAAAACGAGGGACTGGGGCTGAGTGGAGCGGAATGGGACGCAGATCTTGGTGGCACACGTCATCGGGGCAACCAAGAGTGGTGGCCAGTGGTGCCTACGCCGAAGCTTTTGGCATTGAAAAGTACGAGCCACAAACGCGATTTGCATGCCAAGCCAGGAGAAAATCGAGGGGCAAACTCACAACAAACTCACAAGCTGACTAGCTGACTGACTGACTAACTGACTGACTGACTGGCTGTTGGTGCATGACGAGATTCAATGGTGGCTCTGATCGATTTATGAACTCGTCGTCGCCAGCATTGTTGTCATGACGTCACAAAGCCCCCGCAGACGAAACTTTTTGGATATTCGGGGTCTCTATGGGAGAAGCGGAAGCTCTTTGCAACATATCGAAAGGAAAACAAAAAATACATATATGCTCGAAAATACGAAAATACAAATTCATTCATGGAGAGCCGCCGAGGAAGGCAGCCCACTCGCCAGTTTAAGTTTATTACTGGCCGTGTGTAGGCTAACTAGAAACTTTGGGTTCGGGGCTTAGGCTTATCGCGGTGCTCTTAACCTTGCTCTTGAAACAGCTGGAAATATGTTTGGGGGCACTTTTACATTATATTGCGTCGATTTTTTTTTGTTTTCTGTTTATTATTTTATAATATTGCGCTAAATAATATATATGTATATATTTATATTCTTTTTGTATAGATACTATTTTGTGGTTTGTTTTTTAAACATATTTTGATGGCTTATTAGGTAAATTGCTTTAGGGTTATTCGATTTACGTCTTTTGTTTTGCTTCGGCGCATTGCACGATCTATTAAATAATAAATTTAACTAGTATTAAAGAAATTACTCGGCTTTCTGTTTGACAGAAGTGTTTTGTCGGTAATTAAATTATGTGTGCTCGCTTGTTGAGTATTTTCTTTAATGAAGTAAAAATTAATTAATAAATTAAATTTAAATTGCCTTTGATGTGAGAGAACTTGCTTTGAGCTGTTTTTGTAATTTGGTATGTAAATTGAAATGTACAATAAATATTAGTAATAAGAGCGAAATAAGCAAACAGCTCAAAGGTGATTAAGAAGCGGTTATGTTGCATGGAGTAATTTGGAACTTAAGTTTCTTTTTGGAATTTAGCCAGATCGGATAGTCCGTTTTGAGCGATTCGTCATGCAACATTCCAATTAGTAAGTGTCAATAAAAGCCAATTGGATCAATCAAATAAACATAACTATAGAGTGGTAAATACTACTAACATTAAGCTAAACGAATCCGGAAAATACGCTTAAAACTTTACGGAGCACGCTCATCACACACGCATTCAATCTCTCACACTCAGGAAAAACACGGCCGCCGGCGCATTCGACATTTGTATTTATTTGCTATCAAACTTGGTAACTAAGTGTTGTAAACGCACTGGAGCTGTTCACCCTTTAGACTCTGTACAGCAAATCTTTACGGAAAGTTTCCCCTTCTAGTTATGTATGTATCATATGTTCTAGGTATGTATGGTATTGCACTTATGGTTTAAAAGGACTAACTAACTAAAGCAGTCTCGGCTGTGTCTCGATGTGTCTCTAGTGGTTCGGTAGAATGGCACTGGGTTAGAAGCTGCAGCTGATGCGACAATTTAACTATTGCTATAGGCTATGGGCTATGGGATATGGGATTTGGGATATGGATTATGGACTATGGAATATGGGTTACACGGGAGGAGCTGTAGCTTTGCTATGGCACAGTCGCCTTTAAGTAAGAGTCTTGACTAGTATACAAAAAAAATGTAAATTACATTACAATTAATAAAAAAACACAAAACACTGCGATAAACAAGAACAAAACGAGCGGCGAGATCGTATTGGCCATGGATCCGAAATACGAGTATCGAAGTTCGATCAAGCCATTTGCTGCACTTTGGATCTGCTAAACATATAAACTGCTGTCTAACTAAACTGGCTTGGTTTTTCTGCGAGAAAGCGTCGAAGTTTGGTGTTTTGGTAATACAAAGTTTTTACACATACAAAAAAAAAATGATTCGAATTTGTGGGGAACAAGTTATTCTATCGTTTTTGTGAGGTCTGATGGAACTTTGCTAACTGGCTGTTACAGGTTTTCACTTTTACAGACTTTTTAGGCTGCTGATTTTGTTTTTGTCTTTTAAAGAGATTTTTAAAGAATTAAATAGTAATAAGTGCATTTTACTGGTAAAATGTTTTTGGCACCTACGTTTACAATATAATTAGATTGAATATTCAAATGTTGAAAGAATAGTTTTTAAGGCTAAACTATCACCCACTTCAAGCTCCATTGAAGGACAGCTTGAACATTATTACAATACAGTTTGTATACTCAAGTAAAATAGTACTGGATTTTATAAATAAATATTGTTGTATATAATAAAGGTAATTCGAGTCTGTGAAAGTGAAAACCAGAAAACAAGATCTACCCAATTTTAAGACCTTGACTGCCTAGCTTAGGTTCAGGAACTGATATTGAAAGCTATGTGCTGGAGGGGCTCACCACCCCAAGCCTCCGACGCTGTCCGCAGCAACCAAGTCCCAGATATTGCCTAGAGAGAATCCTAGCCAGAAACCTAGCGCTGCGCATGCGTGTGCGACATGTGCGAGTGCGTCGAGTGCGGCGGCGGCACGTGCGGGACGTGGGCGTGGTGCCCGTGTCCGCCGTACTGGGCGTGGGAAAGCGGCGAGGCCTGGCCACCGCTGTAGCCCGACTGCATCAGACTCTGCTCGAGGCTGTAGTGCGAGGGCGGCGCCGGCGGATGGCCCAGATGAGCGTGCCCGTGGTGGCCGTATATCAATTGTCTTACTTTCGAGTCCTCGTCGGCGATGTTGTAGCTGAGCTCCGTCTCCTCGAACCCGGTGGCCGACATCCGCTGGTCGCCGCCGCCGACGCTGGGCGGATCCGGCGAATTGAGGCAGGTCTGGATGAGCTGCTTGCCCGCCTCCGAGGTGATCATCGGCTGCAGCTTGCGCGTTGCAAATGTGTACACGTGGCCCGTCTCGCTGGCCACCAGCAGCATCACCTGTGTCCCGGTCAGCGTAGACAGCTCGTAGGCCTGCAAGTGAAGTGGAGAGAGAGCAGAGGATCGTGTTAAGTACTCGATGGTATCGGAATCGGTATCGGGTATCAGACTGGGAAGACTCGGAAGACTGGCCAGACTGGCGAAGCGTGTGTTGGCCGAGCGGCACATAAATTTACCCACCAAAGTATGCGATTATGTTGCAGCGATAAGAAGCGTTAAGCGTGGACCTCGAATCTGGCGGACTTTAAATTACCAGAGATGGCCACGTGATTTAAAGAGTTTATAAATGTGCTAGTTATTTTGGTGCTTCTAAAAGTAATTGAAAAACTATAGCTTATAAGCAATGATTTTTAAATGCAAATACATTTGAACCTAAAGGATTGCAAGCAAAATAAATTGTACATAATATCTGTTTAAATCTTTTATTTAGAACAAGTTTCTTGCTGTAAAAATTTTACCCTTTTTTAAAAGTGCTTCTAATTTTGATACTTCTAGAAGTTATCAAAAAAGAAGCTAAAACCTTTGTTACTATTGAATCTAAAGTGATGCCAACAATTGAGATCTTACGAAAGATCTGCTTTTACCTTTTTTATATAATATAACAACCATTATTTTGAAATAGAAATACTATTGAATTCAAAGGGGCTTTTTGGTTTAAAATAAAGACATTTTTTTAATCTATATCAGATAAAGGTGCCATATATTGTTTTATAAAACAAGCTTAATCTGCAATAAAACCAAGTAGATCACGGCAAAGACATTTCGTATGTTGTGTGCCAGAGAAATCAGTAAGTCGGACCCTTTTTCTTTTTGCTTTCCGCTCAGCACGCCCACGCAAGAGACCCGAAAGTCACGCAAGCATCGCGATGGAGCTGCACGCTGGATAACACCTCCCCGGGCCACAGACCGTGTTGCTGTACATTAGACGGTAGCCTAAGCTGCCTATCAACAGCTCGTAATTACTATAAAAGCGATAAAGTCGCTGTCGGTCTGGCGGGCAACAGTTTTTGCCACTTTTTCCACTACGCCACTGTGCCACTACTACTGCTGCTGCTGGCGAGAGTCGAACACAGCGCATAAATAACTGGCGAACCAAGAAGCAAACGCTTCGGAAACATTTATTAATATTAATGAAATTGTTGTACACATTGTTGGCGAGTCTGGATTGGGGATTGCGATTGCGATTGGGATTGGGGATCGCATCGGATCGGATTGGATTGGATTGGTTTCGGATGGGATGGGGGGATGCCCCACTCCATACACAGACATCGATTGGCTGCCAATTTTATATGTAACATGTGTAAATGCAAACAATTGACACGGTCCGAAAGCGGAATCTGAATCTGAATTTCGATTATTCTTGTTCTGATTCTGATTCTGCTTCTGAGTAGGTGTCGATTGTATGCCTAGGTACCGGGTATTGGGTGTTTGGTATTGGATATTGCGGATACCCGGGTAATCCGCAAAACAGGCCAACAATTCATGTCAATTTGAATTTCGAACAAAGACAAAAGGACACGACACTGCACTGGCGAGGATTGGGGTACGAAAGCGTTGACAGGACAAGAAGGCAGCAGCCCCAGAGACCGCGGCCCAGATGGAGAGTCATTTGTTAGAAGCCGATTGTTGCCTGTTTCCCGGCCCCTTCCTCCTTATGTTGTTGTTGTTCTTACAGCCTGTTGCATGTGGCCAAAAGGCGAGCCGACGTGGAGCCCGGCTTTCTGGGGGCTTATCTGGGCACAATCTGCCGACGAGGCTGCAGCCTTTAGCTTCCGTGCTGCTGCTGGGCCCCCGAAAACAATTCCCAAGCCAAAGCCAAAGCCAAAGCCTCGTGATTTCAATTTAACACCTTTTGGCGGCATTTTGCGCCTGTGTGCCCTTTTGGCCATGGCCAATTGTTGCGAACTTGTCCGTCGATGGCCGTGCATTATGCAGAAGCGAAAGCTCAAATCGATAACGGCCAACAGCCACAATAGCCCACGCAATTAGGCTGACCAGCCAAATGAGATCACTTCTGGACATTAGCTCACTTTTCACTTTTGTTGCCTTTTTTGGCCTCACCACCACAACCACCACCACCACCGCCCACCCACGCCAAAGATCTCCAGCTCGGCGGCCAGATCGAAATGACCAAAATTGGCCAGTGGAAAGCATGCCAACAGGTTGCCGCAACGCGACAACTCTTTGGGCCAAGTTCATTGGCCGCAATTTGTTGGTTGCTAGGGATTGCGAATTGCGAATTGCAGATTGCCTTTGCTTTTGCGCTTTTTTGCTGCGACCGCTGGTAGCGCCAAGTCCAAAATCCCATTGTCTGCCTGTCAACTGTCCGCCGGCTGGACATCGATGAGGGACCGCATCAAAGTCACCAAAACGATATTTTTTTGGAACGCATATAGCAGCGCAGCGCTCTTTTGTCCCGGGCGTGCGCCTGTCATAAGTTTGGCCCCCGAGAACCACAATTTCGAGTTGGGCGAGCCCACGTCCCAGGGGTCAAATGTTTTGGATGCCCTAAACATTAAAGTAAGGCCTAAAGACTCATTTTTATAAATTTAAGGAGTATAATAACTAAGTTCCTTTAGTTTACAATTTTTTAAAAGACTCTTGAATATATAAAATTAAACAAACATTTTTTTCTATTAAACTCATAAACTCAATCAACTCAACTTTTCTTTAGTTAAAGAATTTTAAAACAAAGTTCATATGCTGCACCTTGTTTTATTTATTCTTTTTATCTGTCTTCTGTTTATCTGCAATTATCTACAATATTTATTCATCTAGGGTATTGAAAACTTCGTTTTTGCAAAACATTCACCTCTTGATTTTTAGAGCTCCTACGATTTTGTTTTGTTTTTTGGCCTGCCTGGGTCAAATATTTCATAAGATTTTGTGTCTTGGGCAAAGATCGTGCTGAGATCGTGATTTAGCGCCGCGATGTTGATGCTTTTTTGTCTGATTTTGATCGGGGGTTTGGTCTAGCGGCCATAGAAGTCTATTTCAGAAATGTGAAAAATTTCATATGCAGCCGCCAGATCGATGGAAAGCAGCAGGAGCAAAGCAAATCCAGTGGCATTATGTAAGTTTGCGTGTGAAAATTGGTCATTTGAAAATGCCAAGGCACTGGCCACATTGCAACGAGTGGGGCAGAATCCGCAAGGAGCACGCATCAATTGTTTTTGGGGGAGGAGTGGTAGTGTAGTGGTGGGCCTGTGGATTGTGGGTAGCAACTGGTGGGCAGCAGCCTCCTTTGAATGCAATTGCGGCGGCAAATTAACATTTTATGAAGCCGAAAACAAAGGGAAACGCGGAATCGTGGGCTACCGCGCTTACACAACGCCGCCAAAGCGTTCAAACAGTTGGCCTAAACAGACGCGATCTGGCTAAAAACCAGAGGATCTGTGGTTACTGTTCTAGAGCGGAGCGAGGAAAGTTCGCTGGCACAGTGGTTGGGTCTATAAGTTTCAGAAAAGATTCTTAAAGGAGTTTTTAATCGTTTCTTTTCAGTCAATTCTTTGAATGTAAATCATATGGAGGATGTGTGGGTTACACATTAATCCCTAGTATTTGCATTTATTTAACTGTTTCATGTCTTAAACTTAAAATATAGATTTGAAGTTTCCAGAGATGAACTATAAATCACTTTAGTTGCCAAATCTTTCTATGATTAGATAAGAAAATATTGTAAAAATTGTAGCACAATCTAGCCAAAAACAAAAATAATTACACCAATTAGATTATTTGGACTAGTTGAAAAGTTTTCCAACAGGAAAAGTTAGCAGAATGGAAAATATTTTTTAACAAAAAAGAAACTTAAGAGTTTCTGTTTTTTAATACCAACATTGGGGCAACCAAGTTCACTGGTGTCAAAGGATGATAAGGATTATTATAAGGGAAATATTCGGTAACAAGCCATCTAATTGGCTACTTGAAGGGGATTTTCCTATCCTATCCTCACCACTGTGCCGATGGCCAAATGACGATAAATCCCCGCTCTTCCTGGAGAGCGGGTCAGAACAATGCCAGTTCTTAGGGAACTGAGTCCCCGAAGCATTTATTAATTGCACATGCGCTGGAAACGTGGCCCAATGTCAACATCCCAATTGCCAGAATCCCAATCGTGGTTGGGATCGTATGTGGGGTTGGGGGTTGGGGATTGGGGATCGGGATGGAATTGGGATGGGATCTTACCTTCTTCATGATGCCCGTTTTGCGCTTGGAGAAGGTCGTGTAGCGACGCAGCTTGTTGTCGATATATTCCATTTTGATTTTGACACGTCCCTTTGTCTTTTTGCCATTGGCGGGCGGTGATTTCTTGTTGGGCAGTGGGTTATAGCTGTCCACGGTGTCGTCGACCACTGGACCGCTGGACACGTTGTCCAGTCCTTGGAGCGTGAGTCCTCCGCCGGTGGAGCGATGGTGATCCTCGTAGCAATCGCTGCCGGAACGTTTAAGTCCCCGTTGCTGTTGTTGTTGCTGCTGGGGGTGCTGTTGTTGCTGCTGATGTTGCTGCTGCTGCTGTTGTTGTTGCTGCTGTTGCTGCTGCTGCTGTTGGGAGGCGTGTTGTGGGCTGTGGAGCGTTTGGCATTGGGTGGAGGGGGTGCTCCGCCGCCGCCGCCCGCCGGATTTGGTCGCTGCATGGGCGGCACACCGCCGCCCATGTTCTGCAGCAGACCGCCGGAGGGGGGGCGTGCCCCGCCCAGGGCGGCATTGCCGTACATGTCCGCCGGATCCGTCAGGCTCAACCCGATACTACTCATCGAGTAGTTCAGGTTGTAGCGCGAGTCGCCCCGCGTCGGATCCATTCTGAGGTAAAAGTTCTCCACCGTGGAGCCGTAGAAATCCAAGGCACCGCGCGCGTCTATTATTGCTTGGGTTTTCGGGGCTGCGGCACACTTTTCTTTCGCTTTATAGTACTACTTTCCTCGGATTGCTGCGGATCGCTTTTCTTCTTTTTTCTTCTTCTATATTCCAAAAATAAAACTACACACAAAAACAGAACAACGCGCGCGTTTTGCTGGCGTTTTTCGCTTATTGAGTATGTACTGGCAACGGGGAGCGCGTTTCTCGTGCGGTTTTCTTTGGCCCGGTTGCCTGGGGGCCTAACGCTTTTGGCCCGGTAATCGGACAACCCGGGTTTTTGGCCAGAAACGCGAATTTTTTAAGTGCAACGCCGACGTTTTGCAACACGCACACGCACGCACACACACACACACAGGAAAATTGACAGCTGACAGTCCTGCAGTGTTGGAATGTGGCGGAAGTCCAGGGATGCAGCGTTCGAGTGTTGCAAAGCAAAGTCGTTTGGCGGTTAATTTGAAATTTGTTGCAAAATACAGAGTTCTTGTTTGTTGTTGTAAGTTGTAGGTTTTGCTTGACTGTTTGTTTAAGTTGCTTTATTTATGGCGTTGAGTTTCTATATGGCTTTGTGTTTAAATTTAATTTATTGCTTCATGCTGATTATTTATTTATTTATTTAACTTTGTTTCAGGTATAATATTTTAAGCGATTTACTTCCTGATTTTTTTTTATTTATCCTCTAGTTTAGTTGTTTTTATTTTGCTGATCAATTTTTCGAGCTGTTGTCTTTCTTTTAAAGTATTTAAGTTTAATTTTATTTTGTCAGTTTCTTTTTTATCGTTATCATTGAAGGTTGTTTATTCCTCTATTTTTGAATGCTGCTTCCTTCCTTTAATTTATTTTGTCTTTTTATGGCTTTGTCTTTTAACTAATTTTTATTTTAGCTCTCAAGTCTTCCTCTTAGTGTCTCCTTTTTTTAATTTCCGTTTTTCTTCAAATTTTTGTTATAAAAATCCTTTTTTGATTTATTTGAACGCCGTGCAGTTATGGGAAATATTTATGGGAAATATTTGTGTGGTTTGTTTGTTCCGTATGCGCTGCATTAAGTTTGCTTATTTGTCGCTAGGCACTTGTTTGGACTGTTTACTTTATTTGTGGCGATTTTATTGTGGTTAATTCCAAATACGATTCGAAACGACGAGCTAAACTTGCGATCGATGGCTGACGTTGTGCTTCAGATGGCGTGCAAATGCCTAATAAACTTCGGTTTTTTGAAAAATACAACGACGATCTTCGTTCCAAACTTGGACCGAACCGGTTCTCTCTTTTCGAAAGAGAACGCCTTTCCGTATGCCGCTCTTCGATCGGAGGAAAAGAGTATTATGTACATGAAAACCCCCCCTATTTATTCGTTTTTTTTTATTTGTTTTTGTATGCCGCACCACTGTCTTTCATTTTGCAGAGGCGGCTGGCTTTATGGCTTAATTAATTAGATGGCCACGCCCCCATATGCATACTCATTCGCTGCGCAGGCGCATAGATTGGGGATTTCTGAGTAGAAAAATAGGTATATAGATGGTATACGGTTGGCTCCTCCCCCTAAAAAAAATACCACGTGATTGAGTTTTGTAATTACTTTGTACGCCATTTTAACGTGATCTTTTCGGCTATCAGCTTGTGTTAATTTAGTTAATTTGTTATTTTGTAATTTCTTTTTACAGATTTTACAGATTTTACAGCCATGCTTTTTGCTGGACATTGGACACTGGACATTTCAAGTCCCCACTGAGAGGAGACAAACAACAACAACAATAAAAAGCGATACACTTAAACTATGCCAGGAATTTTTTAGCCCCGGCCAATATGGTCAGAATGGTCAGAATGCTCTAGAGGATTTGCGTGGTGGGCCCACTTGTACACAGGAGCACGAGTATTTCGCCATGTCCTTAAATAGAGGTTCGCAAGAAATAGAGGTTCAGCCAGGCGCAGAAGGGGGCGGGTGGGCCAGTGGGCATGGCCACGTGCAGTGACTAACAGATAGCAGCAACAGCAGCAGCAGCAGCAGGGAGATATAACATATAGTAAGCGTAAGCGCAGATAAATCGATACACTCTCCTCCGCGATCAGCGATCTGAGATCTGCGATGGTGATGCATTCCCCCGGCTGCAAATGGTCATCGTTGCCTTTTCCAGCCATCGGTGTCGTTGTCGCCAGCTTGTCTCTTCCGCGAATAAGCCAGCTTCAGAGCATCTGAGCCAGGCTCCCCGATTCCTGGACCAGGACCACATCCACATCCACATCCACATCCACATCGTACTCCAACTGATGTCGATTTATCCCCTCCAGCCCCCCACCCGCACCCCCTTGCATTTAATTAGAATGAAATATAGGAACTCGCGCTCGGGCTCCTCGATGGTTTGTCTACCTGCCCGGGCTGCCTAATGATTTAAATTAATCATAATGACTGTCAAAATAGAACGTTTGCCGCTGGCAACGGATCATATAAGGATCGATCCACGCAGCGGGCACCCGGTCTTAGGGTTCATCTGCCTCCAACACACTGACAACAAATTGGGGCACTCGTCTAAGGACATTGGGGAAAGTATTTGTTGATATTACCATTATGTATTTCCTTGGGGTTTTGATAGCAAGTGATGACTTATTAAAGCTAGATGTTCAAACCCTGTTCTTATTTTGTTTTGTGATGTGGTTGATAAAGCCATAAAAGTTTATTGTTTAATTTTTTAAAAATGTCATAAATTCATATATTTTTTATTTTAACAATAATATATAAATAGTATAATAATCTTAGGCTTTTTTTTAATTTCACGAAATAAGCTTTGACATAAGATCTGCCTGAGCTTGCATAACTAAAAACCCAGTTATAAAGTATATATATTTAATCCATACATTTTTTTCTATTTGCTATGGGTGGGGAAAAATTTTTAAAATACAATTTTTATTATCCAAGCAAACAAAATTCGAAATAGGTTTTAAATAAATATTTCTTTGTCAACTTGTTGCAACAAAATTTAATAAAAAATGGATAAAAATGTTTTAGCTTACATTCAAAAGGTTTAACATTCAATGAAGTGATCTTAACCAATTTTTTTTTTATTAACACTTTAATTTTAACTTTAATTTTAGTTTTCTATTTTTTTATTTAGACGAAGAATTTCACTAGCTATTAGCTTTTATGTATCCATTTATGTCAATAAAAAGTCAATTACCTGTTTAATTTTGATTGCAATATAAATAATAAATCAATATAAATTATTATGATTTCATCAAATGATGTATGAATTTTCCCGAGTGCATGTCGATGGAGCTCCTGGTCCTGCTGACATTTCATCATACTCACACGGCCCGGCTTGTTGGCCTGGTCTAAGGTTCTCACAATTGTAGACGCGTTCTGTGCAGCGCTTACTAATTGGTTAGTTGGCCGCAGGCTGGGGTTTTTAGTTTTCAGTTTTCAGCCCGTGGTTGGCTGTGGCGATCCTCCTTTCTCCTTTCCCCTCGCCTTTCTCCAGCTGCAGTTGGCTGGCTCCAGTGCGGCTGTCTTTCTAGGCGAACGTCAGCCTGTCTGGCCGAGAAGTCTTGACTAAAAGGCCTCCAGCTCTCAGCTGGGAACAACTGCAACATGCTGCTGCTGCTGCTTGATGCTTTTTTTTGCCATTCGATTTTCCACGGAATTCTCCTCAGCTGAACATTTCTAATACTTAATTATTTGCCAGCGCTGGCTCGCCGTTTTACGTGCATTTATTTCAGCAATGGCGAGCAGAGGCTGCTGCTGCTCCTGTTCCTGCATTCCGCATTACGTAATCCTGGGCGAGTTCACCTTCAAAACGGAGCCACAGATCATCCAACATTGCTATTCACATACACCCGTCTATATTCCCGAATTTATATTTATAGACCAGGAGGAACGGTTTGTTCCATTTACGATTTCGAGCAACTTTTTGATTTGCCGTTTTGGTCTGTGTCGTGCAGCTAGCCACATTTATATATATATAGACTTTTTTACTATTTATAGAGCTTCTTGGGCATTTGCCGTAAGCCAAAGCCAGAGTGTTTTAAATAGTCGAAATATGTAAATATCTGTTTTGTCTTTTTTTAGTAGAATCATGTCACAAAGTGGGCAAGTATCTGCAAGATGTTGGGTGAGGATTTGGCTTAAGAAGTGAGATTTGATTGGAATTTCAGTGGGAAAATTTTTTTTGGGCTTGATAAAGATTTAAAAGAAGGGTTATTGTATTGAAATAAATTCTAAGGAGAAGTTCTTAATGATTAAGCATTAGGCATACATTTTTAAGCAATTATACATACATAGAAAACAACTAATATACATATACCTAGCAATTTGAATCAACACATAAATTAACACACAACTTCTGATACAAAAAATGAAAACATAAATTAGCATAAAACAAAAAAAATTTTATAATAGAAATTAATACAAATAAACAACTATTTTTAAATATGTCAGCGAAGACTTATTAATATATTCATAGAGCAAAATAAATATGTAATTTAATTTTAACAAAGAACAACATAACAGGCACATATTTATTTATTATTTGGTAAGTTAATAACATGGCGTTGATATAATAAAAACGCCACCAAGTTTTTTTAAATGCATTTTTAGAGACAAATATAAATGTTATCTTAAACAAAAGCAAGCAATTCCCCAAGTAATATTTAAAATAGAAAATCTGTTATTCTCAAACGAAGTTGCTTGATTTACACACTCAAACTACCAATCACACTCCTTATAGAGATGCGATTCGCGATTCGCGATCGGAGCAATGAATATATCTGATTGAATAAAAGAACGTGGCACATGTGGCATGCATCACCAAAAACTCAGGTGTCTAATTGGGCGCTGGGGTGACAATGAACCACTTAACCAAGCCAACTCCAGCTCCAGCTCCAACTCGATCACACTAAGCCATGAGATTGACAAAAGCCGGCAGAGAAAACCGCCAACGCCGAGGAGCCAGCTCAAAAGTCGAACCAATTGGCAATTGGTACAGGCGATCGCAATGTTTTTTTTTTTTTTCGTTTTTTGCCTCATGAATAACGCATAAGGATTGGCTTTGGAATCGGAATCGAAATCAGGATCGGGTTCGGGTTCGAGTTCTTCTGGGGCTTTTCGAGGTTTCGGGGCAATTGTCTGGACGTTTGTGTTACAATTTAAATAAAATTGCGGCTCCCTGGGCGAAAACAAAAGGAAAAGCAGACATCACATGGGGGTTTTGAGTTTGGGTTTTCGATTTTTCGGCTTTTCGGTTTTTGGTTTTCTTTTCAAGTTGCAAGTTGCAAGTACCGTTGGGGCACAGGAAACAAAAGCACCGCTACAATCATAAAACGATTAACAGGTCGTGACCGTTTCACCTGATTACCGGTAGTCCAGCTCATTTGCATGCGAGGCGCACGCTTTTTTCTGTCACTGTGACAAGTGCAGGAAGCTCGGAACTTCCTCTCCTCTCGACCACCACACACTTAGTTCTAACTTCCTCGCCTTCCGCGCATTTTAATTCACTCAATATTTAATTATGAATATCGAAAGACAGACAAAGGTTGGTGCGTGCCTCGCATGGAAGTGGCTAAATTCGAGGCGTATTCCCTTCGTTTTTGGCCCCAAGTCAAGTTTAGTTGGGGCACACTAACTGGGGACCTCTACAAATTAGAACAGAATTATCCCACGCATCTCGGATAATGTACGCGAAATACTTGATCGATTGCCAGCGATCGGTAGTTTGTTGTTCTTGCTGCTGCACTCCAGCAAACAAAAGCAGCAAAAGCAACAAAAACGACGGCAGACAAGGAGGATCGTCATCGTCGCAGACAGTCGAGAAAACCATCAGTTGCAGTGGCCAACAGAGAACAGCAAACAGCAAACAGCAAACAGCTAACAGAAAACAGCAGCTTGGGATCTTCGCATCTTCGGATCGTTGGATGGCACAACAAATTTCAGCGCGTAGAACGGTAACTTATTTTTTCCTACCCGCTAACTAAGGGGTAGTTAGTGTAGCTTGGGCTATAGGAAAGTTACAAAGTTAGATTCACTACTGGGCCACTTGTCATCTTACCAAATTTCCTTAAAATTTGTATATTTATGACTTAATGTTCTTTAATTTTTATTACTATTATTTGAAATTATTTGTTAAGATTTGTTTCCAACGCACAATTATGTATATATCTAAAATTGTTTAGCATTTTTACCTTTGTACTTTTATATCA